GTAAAATATCAGCTTAATGCTGCTGTGTTTCATATGGTGAGTGTAGAGAACTGGATACCCTTTTTACTGGAAACGAGGCATTCCATCTTAGTCCTCACGGGTGACAACGCATCTGCATTTTGATTCGTAATCGAGGATAAGTGTAGATGCCAGGTGGACTGTGTGTTCGTTTGACACCCTTATCCTATAAAAAAAAACATATTTTTCGAAATAAATATTATTAATATTATAAAGAACCGCAACTTGTTTACCATACAGGATATCTTACAATTTCTCGTACATGATATAATATTCTTGATGTAAAATCTGAAGAAATTTTAGCTTGGCTAAAACGCAGACGAATGTGACGGCCCGGTAGCGCAATGCCAAAGCCTTTGCCTGCAGGGCTGCGGGGCCAAATCCCGCACGGCACAAGTATATGACCTATAAAGTAATATTGTTCCGGATCTGGATGTTTGCCTGTGTTCAATTTATGTATGTAATACGCCACGAAACATAAGAAAATCCTAAAGGGATTGGGGGGGGGGGGGGGGGGTTAGATACGTAACCTTTACTATTATATAATATGAATACGCACAATTCACTCAGACCTAAGAACCACATATTTAGCTTAGTGCAGTATAAATATAATGTGGAATATATATTTGAACTAAATTTATTTTTGAAATGCAAAAGGCATAGCACAACATTTTTAACCGTCTTAAAATAAATATATTACACCTTCAATGTTACGTAGTTCCTTATTTTTCAGAAAAATATAACTATTTTACATATTGAATTGGTTGTTGTGAATAATTTTGAAATAGTAAGAGAAAATGTGGATTGATATTGGGTCCATGTGGAGTGAGGGGTAAGATTGCGCGCGCAGTTGTACAGCCGCTGAGAGCGATCAGTCGCGCCCGAGCTACAAGCTACGCGTCCGCCGCTACGCCGTAGTATCGTACAATAAACTTCAAATTGTCTTACAACGACTAAGTGAATTGTGACTTGTGAGCACAAAAGAATCCAATATAGAAGCATAAGAGGTATTATTATGCCTAGACTAGAATTTCAATGCTTTTTTATATTTTAACTTTAATCCATTGAAATTAATTCAGCTGCAAATAAAAAAATAGAATTTTTGAATTGATGTGCTTTATCTTTTGTAATGTTAAGGAAATTTTTTTTTATTATATAAGGGCATACGTTTTTATGGGATTATACTTCAAGAAACCTTATATTTATTTATATAAGATCAGCTGTAATTTTTAACGCGGATGGATGGCCTCATTGCTATTATTATAATAAGGTGTCTTAATACTTGTCGATTTGTGTCACATTTATATATTATATATAGGTTTTATAAAATCATATATGTATATTATTATTATTTAATGGCGACGTTCTATAAATTTACTTTCGAACTTCATTCAGATTTTCTTTGGTTTTGTAATTAAAAGAAGTCGGCTAAGATATACTCGTAATTAATGTGCACACCGCAAAACTCGGTGCAGTTAATTAGCCACTTTATTTTATTCCGGGTTGAGAGTCACGTGTCGGTAGCGAAGTATGCTCTGAGATTTGAAACCCTTACACATTACAACCGCAACTATTTATAGACAGTAAGAATAAGAAACGCTTCTTTATTGTCAATGACACTGCTTTACGCTATATCATATCGATTGATATATTAAACAAAACCATAACTTATAGCATTATATCCCGTTTCTAAATGTCTTTTTATTATATATTCAACATATTTAATAGAATTACATTATTTCCCAAAACTTTTCAGTTTTTAATCATGATTTTTTTTATTATTATGTACATCAAGTTATTAAAAATATGTTTTGGAGGCCAACGAGTCGATTAAAATACTTTAAATTATATATCATCTTACATTAACAATTAATATAACAAAAAATATTTTCATAGTAGACACATCTGTAAATTTTCGGTCTTATAGAGGAATACCTGAAAATTTTTATCACGTTTATACATATTTGGTTTAGTTTTTATATTAAAAGTCCTTAGCGTCAGTTAAAACGCTGGTTATCGGATTAAATAATATATAGGTCCTTATACATACATCGTCTCGTCATCACTTAACTAAACGATATAGGATAAAACAAAACTAAATTATAGAGCCTCATTAAATTCCACGGATATTGCTGCTGAATGGCGAGCGATTACATAATATTACTTACGGCTCTCGCGGACCTATCGATCCGGCCTTGTGGCACAATGCCAATATCAACTTCGTCTACTCTGTGCTGCTCTAGAATTCTAGAAGTTGTGCACACTGATAAAACCGAGAACAGTGCTGGATCGCACTTTCTCACTTAGAATTATTTGTTACGTAATTGAATAAAGATTCACAATTCCACCTCACGACCTCAATAGATCTCTAAAAAAGGCTTATACTGCGGAAAAAAAAATTCGTTCCTATTGAAGAGTTAATAGTGAACGTTATTGTTTTAGACTTTGATGTTTATTAAAAGCATGTTCTTTTAAAATATAACAGTGTAAAAAATAGTTGCGTCAAGTGTCAAATATATTTTTGGAATTTTTCAAGTAATTTTATCGCCGCAGATAATTTATGACGCGAACATTTTGTGAATGTTCAGCAGTGGACTTGGCTTTATAAATTAAATGTATGTGAGAATACAAAATGTTTAAAGCATCAGCAAAGCTCTCGAATTTTGTTTAAATATTGTAAATGGATTCGCGCAATACAATACTCAATCAAACAAAATACTCCATTGTATTTTTTTTTATAAATATAAATTGCTATAATTATATTTCAAAAAGCTATAAAGTTTTTATTACGTTGTGTCATCATCATCATTACAGCAATTCAGAAGTGCACTGCATCCCCAAGGAAAGCCATAAAGCATTGTCCTGAGCTACCTTCATCCATTGACTTCCTACATCTCTTATTAGATCGTCACTCGTATCTAATGGGGAGCCGCCCTACACTTCGCTTACCCGTACGAGGTTGCCTCTCGTGAATCATTCTTCCCCGCCGGTTGTCGGTTCTTTAAGCTATATGGCCGGCCTACTTCAGCTTCTGGAGTAGTGCCACCACGGAAAATAGAACTTAACGCTTTAATTTCGTTCTAGCAACGGGTCTTGCCGTATTTAAAGTTTTAGAGAGCCATTTTAATCTCGCTCAGTCTAACGTCCGGGATATCATCGGAATAATTTTGGATTTGAATTGCTCTTGGATCGTTACTCCCACTCGCGTGTGACTCTGATTATATGTACTATTGTCCGTAGAAGTAGAACTTCTCAATCTCACTCAAAATCTCAGATATTCTAGAAACGACATTGCCACAGTCGGACTTCAACTTCAACAGTTGGCTATTTTTTTTTAATTTAAAAAGAACAGTTTGCTTTTTCTGGCAGACAGATCTCTGGTAAAGACTGGAGCCCTGGCTCCGCTTAATCGCTTTTTCATTACGAGCTTGAAGTTGCGTTAGTCTCGCCGCCTACATTATGTTATGTTGTTATTGCCGCATTATGTTATGCGTTTTACATTATTTTTAAACTTTAAATAAGAATATTTATTGAATTAATAATATTGGAAAATAATATCAGCGTTAATTTTCAGTTGCACAGAAAATTGTTCCTTAAATGTAGTCCGTGTTTATACTGAAAAACAGGAGATGACAAAATATGTACCTTTTTCTTTTCAGGTTTTATTATAAAGACTATTTCGTAGATCAGATGCCAGTACGTTGATAGAATAGAATAATTTTCTATTCAAACATCATCATCATTATAGGTTATAAAAGTCCACTGCTGAACATAGGTCACGCATGGCGGGCAGGTTAGCAGTCGCAGTTTTTGATAATTTTGGTTTGTTATCAGGAAGATGCTACGGCCCATCTTCTGTCTATATGGGGTAATCGCTATTCTTATAGAGCCATTATACCGGTTAACAATAAGATTATAAATATTTCGTATTGAAAGTCATTTTATACTTTTACCACTGCTTCGCAAAATAGCTCTGTCCTAAAAATGATCAGCAAGATACCCAGCGTGATAGCCGTGGTAGCTCAGGGACTTAACGTTCGCCGTAAATATCATAGTACGCGAGCAACCCGGGTTCGATCCCCGCCGAGTTCTTAAAGCTATTTTACACTGAAAATAGTAATATTTTCATAATAATTTTTAATAGGCCAGCGTCATATAACACTTTCTTTGTGGCCTGTCGTACATCATAATTTAAGCTTCATTAAATATCAATGAAATTTCAAATTGATTTTGTATATTTCAACAAAAAACTTAAATAGTAAAATATTGTAGGTATTCTAAAAGTACGAGTAGAATTTTCAACTTTATCGTTCGGGTGAAACGTAAGCTGCTTTGTGGCAAGTTGACAACCCGTCATAATTTATAACACAAACTTTTTATGACATTTTGTAATTAGCATTTTTAAGCTTTAGTAGGTATTATTATAGGTTTTTACGGAGAAATTATTATGATAAGTTATTTGTAATTAACTTGACTTTTTAACAGTGGTAGAGCCACGCGGCAGCTTTTGCTGTCGCACGGATGGGCCGGCTCGAACCGGGGTGGTACCACGACCTCACAGAAAACCAGCGTGAAGTAGAGGTTTACCTCTGCGTTTCGCTTGGTGAGTGCAGGTGGCCGGCGGCCCTTTTTACTGGAAATGAGGCATTCCATCTTAGTCCTCACGGGTGACAACGCATCTACATTTTGATTTGTAATAGAGGATAGATGTAGATGTCTATGGGCAGCAGCAACCCTATTACCATCAGGTGGACTGTGTGTTCGTTTGTCACCCTTATCCCATAAAAAAAAACAACTTAATGGTCGAAGTACCCGGCTTAGGTGCCGGAATTAGGCCTCGGATTCGTTTTTAGCCGGTTCATCACATTAGTGGAAAAATACAAACTTGCGTGCCAGAAACCTATCGCCTCCAACATCATTAACCATAATTTTTTTCTTACTTCCAGAACCAAAGAAATTGCCAATAAACTGAGTGGACAACCATGGCTTTCGCGGGTCTCAAGAAGCAAATCAACAAAGCAAATCAGGTAAAACATATAAACTCAACCAACTATTGTTTAAAAGGAATATTTCCAAGTTTCAAAAAAAAAAGATTTTTTTCATAATTACTCAACAACTTCACGCTACCCGCTGTAACTGAATACCAAATAGACCAAGTTTTAAGACAACGCTTAGCGGTCAGTCACCGCAGTCTGAAGACTTACTTGAAGATGCCTCGTGTAGAGGCGAAACACGTGTCGTATTATCGTCAGTGGTGGGTCTTTCCTACTGTAGTGGTGTTGGGAGTAGTGGTGCTGCGAACGTTTTAAGATGTTAATAACTACCATGCACCGAATGCCTGAAACAAGACATCTGGAACATAGCAGTTATTAAACCAAAATTTGTTATAAATTTATTTACTAAATTAAAAACCTCCTTGACTTTCCAAAAAACGCTTTAAATTTATTCTGCTGGGTTCAACCAATCTGTAAAAAGTATAGTGATGCATGCAAAAAGTGGGAAAATAAACTCGTATATTTATTAAGTATATAGTTATTTTTTCGGTTTTTATGCACAACCTTATTACTGGATGGTTAGCCTTTCCAAGAATGCGCGGATATATTTTGCGTAGCGTGGATAAATTGAAGTAACTTTTCTTAGAAAAAGTAACATATAAGTTTTTAATATAAATTAATAATTAAATTAAAGAATTATATCTTAAAAATGTTCCGTGGACCATGGAGATATATTTGTACTTTGTTACGTTCACAAACACGATATACAATACTGTTACAAAAATTAACGTAAAATATTACAGAAGTTACATTCTGGCCAAATTGCCCTCTATAAATTTTATGGCTAGCTTAACTTTTACTGGGTTAAAAACACAATGATGATGTAATCTAAAATGTGTTCGATGAAACAACACAAAAAAAGGTTGCCGCCATCCATAACTTCTGCTTTTTATCCGAAGACCTTAATATACAGGATATAGTTTATTTTAATGAAAATTTTACTGCAATGCGTAATGTAACACACAATCAAAATATAGCTCCACCTCAAGGCCTTCACTCCAAATCACACGTAAGCGTAAACAATCAAACGGCCGATACTACAGGAAAGTATGTATATTGCCTGGTACTACAGGAAAGTACATGCCTTAAACTCAAACATCCTATTTTAATAAATAAGTAGGTATGTTTTTTTTTTAACCCATTCTTGTTTCTAAAGTAAAAGGTGCTGAAAAATAAGTCTCGAAATCTTCCGACTTATTAATTTGAATTTGACTTTATCTTTTATAAGATACTAGCTGTGCCCCGCGGTTTCACCCGCGTCATCACGTGTCGCAGGTGCGCGACATGACCTAGTTCAAGCATTTTATAATTGCAATTAAATATTTTATTTCATAGCAATGTACGGAAAAATTGGCATAATTTATGGAGTACTTTTATCTGTGGGTATATTATGTATGATGTAGAGCGAAAAGTCCCAGTCCCAAAAAGTGTCCCGAAGAGCGGGTTTTCCCAGTTTTAAAGAAAACCGTACACGAGACATGAAAAGTGTGTAGGCATGAAATGATTCTTGAGCTATCAAACTCTTATACTTATTAATCAATTAAATTTTCAAAATACCATAGCAACGTAAAATGAAAGAGTTCAGAAAAAAAATTTGTACAGCTGACTTCAATATAAGTTATTAAGAATAACTCAAAAACGATTGGTCTGACCTTGATAAAATTCATATGGGACCACACGAGAAGTACCAGCTTTCAAATAAAAAAAGAATCGTCGAAATCAGTTCACCCAGTAAAAAGTTATGAGGTAACACACATAAAAAAAAACATCAACTTTCTAGAGTATAAACAACTACTACAAACAACAACTAGATACTTTTATAGGAATAGGGTGACAAACGAGCACACTGTCAATCTGATGGTAAGTGACTGCTGTGGCCCATAGACATCTACATCAATCCTCTATTACGAATCAAAATGCAGATGCATTGTCACCCGTGAGGATTTTTTTTTTATATAGGATCGGGTGACAAATGAGCATACAGTCCACCTGATGGTAAGTGGTTACTGTAACCCATAGACATCTACATCTATCCTCTTTAGTCTTTAACTCAAGATGCAGATGCGTTGTCACCCGTGATGAGTTAGATGGAATGCCTCGTTTCCAGTAAAAGGGGTCTCCGGTTCTCTACACTCACCATACGAAACACAGCAGCATTGAGCTGCAATTTTACGCTGGTATTCTGTGAGAGCGTGGTCCTTCCCCGGTCGAGCCGACCCATTCCTACTACAACTATACTACTAATATAGCTGCAGCATGCCTCTACCACGTAAAAAATTAATGAATGTATGTTTATCTGTTTCTTTATAACTTTTAAATTACTTCTCATCGTCTGACAAATGAGTTATCGTTGGAAGCGTCTTGATCCGCTGATTATAGACTATGTCATCTCACATTGAATATGGTGCCCTCTAGAGGACAAAGTCATGAACTATTTTTTTTAATCATGCGGTGTTGGGTATGAAATGAAAGGGCTTAATCAGCACATTTAATAATAATATTGTTAGCTGTTGCTCGCGTCTTTGCTTGCGTGCACCTGATAATTGGGAATAATTTCTAAAATCACGCCTCAGATATGAGCCAAACATATTTTCTCTTCAAACCTACTCAAAATACATAAGTAATAAATACGTATTTCATTATAGACAATGGCACACTAGTTAAAATTATATATAATATAAAAAATGTGTGTAATAATAATGACATAAACTGTAGAGAGTATCTTCTCGCGCTGACGGCAGTAACAGTAATGTTACTGGGTAAAACAATAAAGCCTAAACCAAAAAAAAATGTGATGCGATTCTGCAAATACTTTATCACATAATTATAAATAACTTAAATAAAACGTAAGTTCGAAAATGAAAACATGACCACTGAAAAATCACGTCCTATAAATACTATGAAACAAGAAAATAGTTTTCATCTGAAATTATTATTTTATTTTATTTTAAAGGACATCCTACAGTAGTTACAATATATACTATTTATTGTTTTCTATCTTTGAATTACACATTATGCTTATTGAACTACAGATTACAGGTTGTCACAACATGCTTAAATTTAATGAAAAAAAAAGTACAAAAATTAAAGATATTAAAGAAAAGGGCCAATATATATAACATAAATAAATAAATAAAATACATAACAGAGGTGCATCACTCACTGATAATAATTTTTCTTTTATAATTGTGTAAGGTGTCATTAAAAATGTCGGGATCTGTGTCATCAGTTGATTTTATATTATAGGTACGTGTCAAACGGGAAATTGGTGAATTTTTTCCTAGATTACTTTTATGTTTACGTACTTTAAGTATTCCGATTGGATGACGAGGCAGCCGTGTGGGTACCTTTATGGAAAATTTATTAAGCAGATTTGGGCATTCTATAGCATTATTAAATAGTTTATATAAGAATGTTAACAGTGATCGTCTTAATTCTAAGGAATGCATATTAAAAATCTTAAGCCTTTGTGTATATGATGTCCAGCGCGGTAACTGACTTCGATATGCTAAATGTCTGGTTAATCGTTTCTGTAAACGTTCTATTCCCTGTATGTGAGTATTGTAATAAGGTGACCATACTGTACTACAGTATTCTAGCTTACTTCTTACTAGGCAATTGTACATTGTTATGATTGTTCCGGTTTTCTTGAACTCCTTGCCACTTCTTATGACAAAACCGAGTGCTTTGTTGGCTGCAATTAAGGTATTGTTTATATGGGGTACGAAGCTAAGGCGACTATCTAGCGTGACTCCTAAGTCTCGAATCTCTCCCACTTCGGTCAACTTTTCGTCCTGGATGCTATACACTGATTGGTGTTTGTTTCTTCTTCGAGTGAAATTGATATACCGACATTTGGATGGATTAAGTGTCATTTTATTGTGTACGCACCACGTAACTAGGCTATTAAGGTCTTTCTGCAACAGTTCTTCATCCTTTTTGGTTCTAATAGCTCGAGACAATTTTAAAGCATCAGCATATAAGAGGGCTGTCGAGTTCTTCAACGATGATATGATATCATTAAGGAAAAGAGTAAAAAATAATGGCCCCAGGTGTGATCCTTGTGGTACTCCTGATAAGGCTGTAAATGAATAAGATTCATTGCCATCCAATACGACTTTAAGTGTGCGTGCCTCTAGGTATGATTCATCATCATCATCATCATAAACACTCACGCCTGTCACCCAGAGGGGTAGGCAGAGATTATGGACTTCCATTTGGCACGATCCTGACACACCTCTCTCGCTTCCTCCACATCCATAAACCTACGCATACACGCTCGTCGGTTAAAGGTACTCTTGATTTGGCCCATTTTTAATATATCGCCAATTTGGTCGATAAACTTTCGCCTAGGGCGACCCTTCCCGACTATGCCGTTCACCTCTGCAACATAAATTTGCTTTGTCACTCTTTCCTCATTCATTCTTTCTACATGGCCAAACCACCGAAGCATTCCTTTCTTAATCCTGGTCACAACATCATCTTGCAAACCACACTCTTCTCTTATTAAACAATTTCTCACTCTGTCATGTCATTTAGCTTCATCCCTAACATACTCCTTAATGACCGCATTAATACAGCATTTATTCTACTCTCATGCTTCTTCTGCCACACCCAACTTTCACTACCATACATTAAAGTAGGTACTAACACAGCATTGTGAATTGCCATACGTGCCTTTTTGGACACATTCTGACTTTTCACAATAGAGTGTAGAGCTCCATTCACTCTATTTCCTGCATTCACTCGTCGTTCTATATCCTTATCATATCTACCATCCCTGCTAAACACACATCCCAAATATACAAACTCATCTACTTGCTCTACCAACTCCCCTTCTATTCTTATATCTTCTTCTTTTTTGTTTGGTATGATTAGTAGTAAGATATTTTTCGTCTATTAAATAAATAACTTACACGTAATATATTTTAATGTATGTATTTAATATATATTCATAGTGATGTATGTTCGGA